TGAGTCATTTCTACCTTCTCCTCTCTGTCAACGCTCTCTGGTTTCATTTAAAAGAGTCGATCATCAGACATTGTCCAAGATTAACCTTCAGGGTGGACATAGCTCGCTAGCATCCTCGTGCCGATGACCTAGTTGATGTCATCATTTACCCAGAATGCTTTGCGTGTAAATATAATGGCCCCATCCATGTAATATATTTTTAACTTTTATTTTAAAAATTATAAAACTGGACATCCTACAGTATTTTTACAGTCTTTATTTTACAGTTAAAATATGTGTTTATCAAATTAAGTCTAATGTTACAACTAATCGGGGAAACCTTTAAAAGAGTCAGAAGAATCTGAACAGCGAAGGGACAGAGGGAGAGCATTCCAGAGCCTCGGGACCACTAAAAATACACACTAAGGATAGCTTGGGACTCAAGACAATAAAACTGTCTGGCCATTTTTATGAATAATAATGTCCTTGTGTCAGAGTTGAGGCTGAGTCTACTGTGCTGTTTTAATTGGGTAATCTAGCAGTAAAATATGAGAGGAAAGTAAAAATGAGCTTTGTATCAAAATGTGATTCATTTAAAACCATATTACAGTATTTAACTTATAATGTCAAGATAAAACTGCTGAAATTTTGTTCTGAATATTATCAGTGGCCCCCCTCTGCTCCTTTAAGCTGCCCCTGCTCGTAGACAATCTCTAATCTCTTCTTATCTCAGTTCTCGTCATCTTTTTTCATTCCTCTACAGTGCAGCCTCCACTTTCTTCACCTTTACTTTGCTCTCCTCTTCTCCTTTCCTTGCTCCCTGGCTTTTCTCATTTTCTTTCTATTTTCACTATTTGTCATTTTGCTTTTTTCTTTGCTCTTCTCTTTGCCCGCCTCGTTTCTCTTCTTTTCATGCTCTTCTCTCCTTTTCCTCGCTCTCTCCTCTGCCTGTCTCCGAAATTCTGTTAGAGCTAATTACTTCCAGCAGGCTTTTCTCTCGGTCTGTCACGTTGCTCTCCATCATGTGATGACGCTGGGTCCGCTTGTTATTTAGGGCCTTTAGACTGCTGCTGTGGTTAAAAAAAGGAAAAGGGCTAACACATGGCACATGGGCACACAAACCATCCCATCAACCTCAAACACTTCACAGCCTGCCGGACCACTCCTTTGCTGCAACTATGATGTCCTCTCTGCTGTAAAGAAATTCTCTTCAACTGTTTTTTTATTTATTTATTTTTTGTTTGTTTTTTTCCGGCTCAGGCAACAGAACTCCTAAATGGCTGAAGAGGTTTTAGTTTCATCGACAGGAAAAGTCCCATCGGTGAGTTGAAACTGACTGATTCAGGTCAAACAGAGAGTCAAGCTTATGATATTACTGATATTGATTTAAACATGAAGTCTCAGCTTATATAAACCTGTGATATTTACTTAAACTAGGTGTTTGGGACAAAACCTGTCATATTAAAATATGCTTTACAAGTGATCAAATGTGACTTTCTTAAAAAAATACAAAACGCAACATTTTTTTGATTTGGAGAACTTATTTGATCATTTTAACTGAATTATTACAAAGAATAATCAGAAATTATATAGTTTGTGATTCTTATTTTTTTGAAAAAGTTAATGTGATTTTAGCAGCACTAAAATTGCTACTAATTTCTCAGTGTGATATATTTGCATGTTCACATGTCACATTTCTGTAGAATATTTGCCTGAAACTGTTCAAATCAACCCTGTTTGTTAACAAAATGTCACAGATTTGAATCAAACTTGCAGGATGTTTGTTTATAAATGATTACCTTTTGGAATCAACTGGATTCAAGATGGCTGCCACAGCTACTCAGTCTTTTTTCATTTCTCATATTGTTGACCAAAATTCTAAAAATACAAAATATGATAAAAACAAACAAAAGCAATATACTTTCAGCACATTGTGTAAAAGCCTTTTTGTGGTTAGTTTACACATCACTGTTTGGACATGAAAGTTATATTTAGTGTTAAAAGCAAAGATTAAATCAAGACGGGGGAGTACTATACATCGTTTCATTCAACTTATCTGCAGGACTCAGTTTCAGTTTGATAGACTTTATATATATGATGGTGCTGAATTGGAGTGAAACGAGAGAAAACCCCTTAAAGTTTTTCCTCTTATTATAACGCAGGTGTTAAACCTGATAAAACAGATTAATTCAAATTTAACTGAGGTCACAACATAACTTTATGCTTCTGCAAAGTAGAAAGATTTTTTTGAAATGATTAATCTAACATGTTACACATTTTAAAAATACTTCCATTTCTGTGGATTTTATGTGAAGATGTTTTATGGGTCATCAGAAATGAAAACATCCCACTCAAAAATACAAATGATGGATTTAATTTTAAAAATGTCAACCGTTTCCACTCAACTGAGTAAATGTAGTATATTGATGCACAGTAAATGTAAAGTAAATGTGTTATCTTTACTCAGTTTAGTTGAGTGGAAACAGTTGATACAATTTTTTAAAATTAAATTCACAACATTTATTTTGATTCCTATACCAAAGCAGGTGTCAAAATAAATAAATAAAAATAAATAAATAATAAAATACAACTTTGCTTAGACGTCCTTTTTTTTTTAACAGTTGACAAAATGAAAGTTTCAAAAATAAAACTTCTAACAGGACTACATTATTTAAGTGGTCAACCTAATGCTTTAAAAATACAGAAAAAATACACATATGCTCAGGACAAAAGGCAAACTCTTAACCTGATTATAAAAAGAAATATGGATGAATTCTTGTATGAGCATCAATCACTAATGTCTAAGACAGTTTCACTCTGTTCTGGCAATAAGTATGACAATCGATAAATAAAACCAAAAAGTGAAAATTTAGCTCTAATTTTAGAGAGACGTTCTCTGATGAGAAATACACGTGTTGAAAACTCTTTATTCAGATGTTTTCTTTCTTGTTTTATTTGATGTCTGTGTGTCTTTTATGCCTTTTAGTCATATTCCTGCCACAGGGGTCTCCAATTATCCTGCATGTTTTAATAGCTTCCCTGCTCCAACACACCTGATTCTGTGATTAAATTACCTCTTCAAGTTCTGCAGAAGCCAGTTAATCACCCATCAATTCAAATCAGGTGTGCTGGAGAAGAGAAACCTCTAAAACAGACAATCTGCAGGACCAGGACTGGACACCACTGACATACATAAACTACAGCCAGCTAGGATTTGTTTACACTGAGTGCGTACCCACATTTTAGAGTTGGATGTACTTGACAGACTGTAATGAGTACCTTTAAAGTGTTTTATGTTCGCAGTTCCTTGAATGTTTCTCTGTTATGATGAACACGCTGTGCAATTTGCTCAAACTCCTCCTCTTTTGTTGTTGTTGTTGTTAGCTTGTTTTTGTGCTGAGTCAGTGGCAAAACTGCTGAAATCTGCAAACGTGAGTCTTTGCAACCTGTCATCACTTATTATTAAGTTATAGTTATTGTAAGTGTCCAGTTTGAATATTGAACGTCTCGTCAAAAAATAAACCGTTGTTCTTCTTTATGAATTAATGTTTGCACACTGAGGAAAAGTCCTTAGTTCCTGCTCTGCTGCAGACCCTTTTATTTAGTTTTAACCAGGAACGTGAGGAATACAGTAATAAGTTTATTCAGGACTGCAGTAGCTCAGTGGTCAGACCACAGCACTGTTCTGTCTTTTAATCCTGAAGCTGCAGGTTTGAGCCCTGTGTGTTAAAATCCCGTCACACTATAACATTTTCGACATCTTGTGAAGATTATGTCCAAATCCGAAGATGAGTGTGTTGAAGATGGAATTTAAGAAAACCTACTGGAAGCCTCTTTTAGATATATACTTACTGTAAAGCTAATGAATTGAATAAATAACCTTTATGAGTAATTTATTTATAACATTTTCATAGGTTGGCATAAGTTGTCTAAAACATTATGACAGGTTTCATAGATTCAAAGTGTTTATTCTCATATGCACAGCAGGAAACGTGCTTCCCTGAGGAATAGAATTCTTACTTCATCAGGGGAGACGAACCAAAAGAAATATAATTAAAAATAGAAATATGATAAAAAATAAAGGACAACGAATAGCACCAATAAGTATTTTTATAAGAGACAATCAGAAACACACAAATGTCAACAGGTAACAGTTAGATGAGGAAACATTCAGTTATTTAAGAGTGATGGAATTGAGAAAAATGAGTTCTTAAATAGGGAGGTTTTGCATTTTGCACTTCTGGACCTCTGGCCTGAGGATAGAGGTGTGGAGAGTCCATGATGGAGGACGAAAATGGCCTTCCTGCAGACTCTGCAGTGGTAGATGCTCTGCAGAGGACAGTGGAGTCCCTACTAGACTGTGATGCAGTTGGAGAAGATGCTCTGCACCACACAGCTGGGAACGTTTTTGAGGACCTTGGCTTTGAAGAAATTACTGGGGTTTATTTTATGTACCGATTTTAACTACACTATAGTTTGTGTTATGATTGAACTGTAATGACTAATTAACTTGATGATTCTATATCAATAGTCGCATGTCTGGTAAAAAAAAATCCAACACATATTTGAACTTTTAAATCATTAGGACAGGTTTTTATTGTTTAGAGGGCATGACTTTGACAAAATGATTGGCCCCTCCCCCTTCACTGATGATGTAATCAAATAGGCGGAGTCATGCCCTGAAGCTTTTGATAAAACTCTTGTTATTTCCGGATTCGGTCTGATTTCCTGGTACAATAAAGCCAGACATTGGCAAAGAGCACTCTTTGGTTCTGTATGGCTGTTCTTTAAAACTCTCTCCATGCGTTTGCACATTCCCTGTATGGTTTCGCATACATTCTGTTAACGAACACGAATAACAACGATTTTTTACAGCCTGACATGCCAAACTTCCTCAGCCTTCGTAGGAATTGAAACCGCTCTTAAGCCTTCTTGACCAGCTGTGTGGTGTTCTCAGTCCAGGTGAAGTTTTCATTGATGTGGACCTTTAGGAGGTGCAAATGTCAGAAAAAAATGCTTATCTTTCATAAGAGGTCACTCACTGCAGTGACCCCTGCAGAACATGTCAAGTTGTACGGATTGTCCATAATTTACACGGATATCCCATTGTTTTGCAGGTATACGGACATATAGAGCAATCTCACGGATTGTTTCAAGTATTACGGATATTTTTCAAAACCTCAATTTTTTTTAACATGTCAGAGCCTGCAGGACGTTAACAAATCAGTAAATAACATCAACCGTCTTGCGACCTGCTCTCCCCCTAGAAATGAGCTCTCCACCTCTTCCGTTCTCCTTTCCTCCTGCTTTGCAGCAGGCGCTGTCAACTCCGCGGCCAACAGCACCCCCCGCAGGTGCGAGTAGTACGTATTTTTGCAAAAAGTACAGATTTTTGAGGTTCATTATACTGGTAAAAGCCCGGAGGGATTGACATGTATGGGAAAGTTACCAAATTATGCAAAATCAACTTTTTAGAGGTTTATATCCTGTTATAATGTCATTTCTTCCATGAGCTGCCTAAAAGCTTGCTGGTACAAAGCTCCGCCTATTTGTACAAAGCTCCTCCCTGCAGCTCAGTCTGAAGCTGAGCTTCCGCCCCTCAGAGCACCCCTCCCCTGAAACATTGTTGTGAAGATGTGCTGAAGTGGGAGTGTCAGAAACGGCAGGTTGTTGTTAAAGACAGTGGTCAATTTCAGAGCATTTAGATTTTAGATTTATTTTGGTATGTACAGCCTTTTCAGAACAACTGAGGATAACATAGTTACTTAACTGTGGTAAAGAACTGAACTATGTGCCTGGAAAATGCATAATAACCACTCTTTAATGCACACCCATACCATCAGAGAGGCAGGCTATTAAACTGTGAACTAATAACAGGATAATCCATCTCCTCTTAAGTACAAAGGACAAGGTCTGTGGTTTCTAAACAAAATTTCTAATTTTATATTGTCTGACCACAGGACACTTTTTATTTCATCTCAGTTAATTTTTGATCAGCCCCCCCAATTTATGTTTTTTTAATTTACAAATTAATGCATTCTGTTTTTATTCAGATTTTACACAATGTCCCAACATTTTCTGAAGACAAGGTTGTAACTCACAAAATTTTTTTAAGGACTCCAAAGGTGATGATGACAGTATTTGACCTAGACAACTGGTCCAATTGGGGTTTGTTTTTTGTGCGGCTGGTCCATCTCTGGCAAACCACATCCAGGCCACCAAAGGGCCGTCATTATTTGCTGTACCAAGACAGAGTGTTAGAGTTATTCGTCTTGTTTTGTAAAAGTTTTAGTTGTTAAAACTGAAGCTGCTGTACAATTTAAATGGCCAGAGTTTTAAAAATAGCTTACCTTTTCACCATTTTCCCAACACAGCAGCATCTCTTAACTTTCTAATATTGTTCCTCTTCTGTTTGCAGCACCTGACTGGCTCTCTGTTAGCCGTGGCATTCCTCACCTCTTTTGGGAGTTCTATGCTGTACGGCTACAACCTCGCTGTGGTCAACTCTCCTGCTGGAGTAAGACACAAACATTCATACACATGTTGGCACATCTGCTCAAAGGTCCCGCTTACACACATGGACAAAACTCTTGGTACCCCTCGTTTAATGAAAGTAAAATCCACAATGGTCACATAAATAACTAGAATTTGACAAAAGTAGTGATAAATAAAAAATTCTATGAAAATGAACAAATGAAGTTCAAATGTTGCTTTTCAACTATACTTCAATAGAATAAAAAAATAAAAAATAAAACTCGTACAGGCCTGAACAGAAATGATTGTACCCCTGAAAATAATGTTACCAAAGGGTCATGTTAAATCAAGTTGTGCCCAGTAATTAGCATCACAGGTGTCTACAATGTTGTTATCAGTCAGTGGATCTGTATATAGAGCTGCAGATACTCATTGTGCTGTTTAGTGACATGGTGTGCACCACATTCAACATGGACCAGAGGAAGTGAAGGAAATAGTTCTCTCATATTAGAAAGAAATTTATAGACAAGCATGTTAAAGGTAAATGTTATAAGACCATCCAAGTCATTTGGTGTTCCTATGACTACAGGTTGTTACATTATTCAGATTGAAGATTTAAGATCCATGCGACTGTAGCCAACCTAACTGGACGTGGTCACAGCAGGAAAATGTATAACAAATCCAAGAGACAGATAATACAAATGGCAACAAAAGAGCCCAGAAAAACTTCTAAAGAGATTAAAGGTGAACTTCAAGCTCAAGGAACATCAGTGTCAGATTGTACCATCTGTCATTGTTTGAGCCAAATTGGACTTAATAGGAGACGACCAAGGAGGAAAACAAATCATGAAATAGTCAGACTGGGGTTTTCCCAACTACATGTTGACAATCCACAAAGCTTCTGAAAGAATGTCCTCTGGACAGATGAGACAAAAATATAACTTTTTGGCAAGGCACACCAGCCCTTTGTTCACAGAGGAGAAAAATGAAGCGTATCAAGAAAAAAAACACTGTCTCTACTGTGAAACATGGCTTTGGAGGCTTTGTTATGTTTGGGGCTGCTTTGCTGTATCTGACATAGGGTGTCTTGAATGTGTGCAGGATACAATGAAATCTCAAGACTATCAAGGATAGAGAGAAATGTGCTGTCCAGTGTCAGAAAGCTTGGCCTCAGTCGCAGGTCATGGGTCTTCAACAGGATGATGGCCCAAAACAGCTAAAAACACCCAAGAATGGCTCAGAGGAAAACATTGGACTAATCTGAAGTGGTCTTCTATGAGTCCTGACCTAAAACCTATTGAGCATCTTTGGAAGGAGCTGAAACATGCCATCTGGAAAAGGCACTCTTCAAACCTGAGACAGCTGGAGCAGTTTGCTCATGAGGAGAGGAACAAAATACCTGCTGAGAAGTCTTGTTACAGGAATCATTTGATTGCAGTGATTGACTCAAAACTTGCAACCAAAAAAGGGTACCATCATTTCTGTCCAGGCCTGTTTCATGAGTTCTACTGTTAAAAACAATTCTGTTGAATCATAGTTGAAAAGCATTGGGCCTCATGCAAGCACGTGTTATCCTGAATTTCTATTACTTTTGTTCGTACAAAGGCTTCGTACGAACATGTCACGTCAGATTCAACAAACTCTTCTATCTTCAGGAAAAGTGTGTAAATGAGCTGCATAAACATGATGAATTCTACCTGTTCGTATCAGCTGCTCGTGCACGTGGAGGGGAGATTAGCATAATTACCACCCCAAAAACACCATATAAGGCTATGTTTCCTGCCTCAGATATAAGGAAGTGTCCATTCATGAAAATGACAGCGAAAAGTAAAAAGAAGAACTTTACGAGTTCGAAGATTGAAGTCCTGCTCTCCGAGATCGAGAAAAGAAAATCTGTCGTTTTTAGCAGCGTCAGCTGTGGAATTAAAAGACCAGCTAAAGCCAAAGAATGGAATGAAATAACTACTGCTGTTAATGCTGTGTCTCCTGTGGGTCATACAGTCACAGAAATAAAAATCTAAATCTTATTCATCTCTCCCTAGTCCTGCTCCGGTTTTCCTTTGGTCAAATATTTTTAATTCAAGTGCAAACAAGTGTGTTACATAGTTTTCATTTATTCAGAGGAGGAGCAGGCGTGCACCACTACCCCCGGATGAGTTTCTGAAAAGAAAAAAGCTTTTTAAAATGTTTCCAAATTTAAATTAACTTCATATTCATATTGTAGTGTTATACAACAGCATTAATAGCCAATGTAATTTAATTTAACCATTTAATGTCGTTAGTCCACATTATTACATTTAAAATATAATTCCAATTCAAACAGAATAAGCTATTTCAACATAATTATGGAGTGTGATTTATTTTCAACTCAAAATATCTTCAAACTAGTTAAATATGAAGTTATTAGTGAAGAAAATCCATCTGGATAACAGCAGACTGACTGCTCGTAAAATACACGACAGGTCTGGACCACTTGTAAATTTTGTTCGTATCTGAAAAAAATCTTAGAATACAAAAACATTGGTGAATGCCACAAATTCTCCTAAATCACTCGTACGCACAATTTAAGAACAAATTTGTGCGTACGAACGGTTCTTGCATGAGGCCCATTGTCTTACTTTCATTTGTTCATTTTCATAGAATTTTTTATTTATTATCACTTGTGTCAAATTCTGTCAGAAGGGGTTTTAGGATTCAGGACCACTGAAGACAAAAACAGGTTTAAAAGGTTTATTATTTCACTGTTATGTGAGGAACCTCTGGACCCTCTGGGTGGCACACTCTGCAGAGCAGAACACTGGTGAGTGTCAGGATTAAAGCTGGTGGATTTGCAAAAATAGAAAGTAGCTACTGACCTTTTAACTGTAGACACATTAGTCTGGGTGAGTCCACAGAAGTTGGTCCCAGAGGACTTGGGTCCAGGGGAAGCGAGAGGGGTCAGGGGATCCAGTGAGCGGTCCAAGGTCAGAGCCAGGTGATCAGAGAGCCAGAAACAAATCCAAATCGTAATCCAAAAGGCAGGGTCCAGAGAACAGAAACGGTGCCAAAAGCCAGAGATCAGAGTCAGCGTCAGTATCAGGCAAGGAACAGGCAGGAGGCAGAGATCGGGAGACAGGCAGTGGGTCAATAACAAGAGATCAGGCATGGGCATGGATAAAGCGCTGGACATCTACTGGGCRAACCGTTCAATAATCTGGCAAAGGTTGAGTGAGGGAAGGGAGCTTAAATAGGAGAGAGGACAGGTGAGGCAGATGAGGCTGATTGCTGTGGCACAGGTGAGGAGGAAAGGAGTAATCAGAGGAGCTGAGTGAGAGTGACAGAGGGGCAGGAACAGATGGAGCAGCCCAAAATATGACAAATTCAAATTATTTCTGTGACCATTGTGGGTTTTTCTTTCATTAAACGAGGGGTACCACCAACTTTGTCCATGTGTGTGAATGATTTATCTTCCACTGATCAACTTGTCTGCGAAACAAGACTTATGAAAACGAAAACATTTTCATTGATTCCTCAAAAGAAATTAATGTGAACTCATATTTGGTTTGGTCAATTGTATGTTGCTGCTTGATGATACAGTCTTTTCATTCTTTTTTTTTTCTTAATAAATGTACCTTCAGTACCTCATGTTGACAAAGTGAAAAAAAATATCAAATTTGTGAGTTTTGAAAGCTTTTCATTGTTGATTAGATGTTTTAACGCCTTGATTAGTGTCCATCTGTGGTAAATTAAACTGACTCGATATAATTTAGACACAAGTTATTATAGAAGGCCTTCTGGCTGATGGTGCATGTCAGTGTGATAAACCAAACCACGAGGTCAAAGCAGCTGCCCACAGAGCTCAGAGACAGGTTTATTTTATGGCACAGATCTGGGGAAGGCTACATAAAAAAACTTTCCCCTGCATTGAAAGTTCCCAAAGCACCTCCATAATGCTTGACTAGAGGAAGTTTAGCTCAACCAGAACTGAATACTTATGAAGAAATTTATTGGGGTGTGTTATGTGCTGATCTTAATTACACTACACGTAGTCTTATTATTAGGGGAACTGTGATTATGTTGCTTAAATTTGAAGAAATTTATAGTTATTATAGATTAGTACTGGTGTTAGAAACAACACTAGAGTATTAGGGTTTCCTTTTTACAATACTTTTATAATGTTTGATCTATTATGTGTTAATTGAAATAGAGTAGCTACATGTCTGAATCATAAACAACACATAAGTGAACCGTTATAATAACATTTAGATGAGATTTTTGCATGAAGGCCTGTGATTCAGCCGTAGGTCAGTAGGGGGCGAACTCAGGCATTGAAGAATTGTGTATAAAAACATGTACCTCCTGACTTTTAGTTAGTGTGGTTTCCTTGTCAGCCCAGTGGCAAATAAACCTCACTCAGGTCTAGAATTCTGGTTTTGTATGACTTTATTCCTTTTACAAATTATTTTATTAAACAATTGTGTTTTCATCTTGACTTTAGTCGTATTGAACACGTATTTTCTTACAAATTGATGATTTGATGTAGATACATGCCTGAACACTGATTCAACACATAACTGAACCGTTAATCTTCATTAGGTCAGAATATAATTTGTCTGGGGACATGATTTCAGCTGGGTTTATGGACTCCCCTCCTGGTGATGTAATAAAATAGGCAGAGTCATGTCCCGGGTGCTCATGTTAAATCGTACTGACGTCCTCTGAACGGGTCTGAATGCAGACTGAACCAACCATCTTCAGACAGAGCGCTCTTCGTGTGGTTGGTTGTGTGCAACTCTTTGACATTCAATTTCCATGCATTGGTACATTCTCAGTGTGGTTCACACACACAAAACGGTAAACGAACATGCTTAACAATATTTTCTTTCACTGATCATCCAGTCCTTCTGACTAACTGATGTAGGACCGTAGTGAGAGAGGTGACTGAAATCCACTGAACACTCTAAGCTTCAGAGATCCTATGTGGCGATGAGACTAAAGTTCAAAAGGACAATCAGAACTGCAGGCCCACTCTCTGATGGTAGAACTGTCAGCTGGACCTGGCCAACACCAACCAAACTGCCCACAGCATCGTGCTGTTTTGAGACTGGTTGAGGAAAAACTGAGTGGAGCAAAAATACAGAAACATCCTGAACATAAAACCTATTCCACAGAAATCAGGAGCCCCATCTACACATCTCTGAATAAACATACTGGTTGTTCATGAACAACAGGACTGAGCTTGGAAGGATTTATGATGCAGAAGGATAAAATGTCCTCCAGTCCAGATGTGCAAAACCTCATCGAACCCAAAAATAAAATCCAGAGGTTATAACTGAGGGTCTGATAACTTATGCGATCACTTGTTTTGTAATTTTCATGAATTTGCAAATTTGTGGAAATGTTGGATTTTATATTGTTTTCAGGGTACTTTGAATTGTTGAAAAATAAATAAATTTGAACAATTTTATCATCAAGCTGCAGCGTAGCAAAACAGCAAAATATGAATTGGGTCTGAAAACTCAGTGTGGCCATTAAACTGTAAATACAGGATGAATGAATGAGTGAATGAATGAATGAATGAATGAATGGATGAATGAATGAATGAATGGATGAATGAATGGATGAATGAATGAATGAATGAATGAATGAATGAATGAATGAATGAATGATACTTTATTGATCTCATGAAGGGAAATTATAGAATTATTATTAGAATGGTTACTGTTTAGACCCTGCACTCATTTTCATAAATGGAAAATTACACACTTTCTTGTTTTATAAATATTTGCTCTTTTTGATGTGTTTAGTTTAAAAGACTGGGACTGATCAAAAGTTTTTTTTTTGTAAAATTACAAAGGCAAGCAAAAGCCAAAAATGAAAAAGCAGCGTGAACTCCCCCCTTTAACAAATAAAAACTCAGAGTGTATTGTTTGTCCAGCATGTCTAGCAAAAACCATCCAGGCAAAACTGCTGTGTTCTGAAAGCTGAGAATATCCTAAGTTTTTATAATTTCCAACAGAAAATCTATATTTTATGGTTGAAGCTGAGCCTTTAGTACCAGGCTGTGTTATTTGTATGCATGTGTACATGTACAGTGTGTTTCTGGACACAAAGGCTGTGTGTGCAGTGGGTGAACAGCTTAAGTGTCCCTGTAAAGAGCTGCTTGTTTTGAGGAATGTCGACTTATTCAGAGGAATGCAGCACGGAGTTAATGAGAAGCACTGTACAGCAGAAACACCACTCTGTTAGAGAACAGGAAAATGTTATCTGTCATTTGTTTTTATTTACCTGGATGATTAAGTTACAGTAGTTCAGCTCCTCTGCCATGGCATCACAATCTCCCCACGTCAGGAGTTTTTTTAGGGCGGTGGTTTTAGGGTCTCGGCCATGTACAAGGCCTCAAAAGGCAAGAATCCCAGCTGGTCTGCACAAAAAAAATGAGACATTTGAGTTTGTGTCTGCTTTGACTGACGTCAAAAACTCTGGCTAACCTGGCGCACCCTCCACCTGAGTCAGCAGAGCAACAACCCACGTGGACTTTACTTTTTCTATCTGTCACATTCATTTCTTGCTGGAGGCACAAATTAAACACAGTCCTCAACTAGTTTAATCCAATCAGTTGGGACTTTTAGACCCATATATTGACCAGTTTGACTTTTACTCCATCTGTTGGACCTGAAGTGTTAATAGTGAAAGTGTTTGTTGAAACAGTGCACTGAGGTATGAAAATATTGTGACCAACCAGTCCAACTGCAGGGAAGATCTATTACAGGAAAAACAGTCCTGGTATCAAATATTAAATAAGTCCCCATGTTTTGCCGTAGCTATAATTCATGTTCCTGCTAGTTAATGGTTCTGTTTTCATTTTTTACCTGGGCAGGAAATGATCTCAGATGTTTGTGCTGATTCCTTTTTAAACAGTGTGTTTTGTTCATCAAACCTTATGTTTTTTTATATAAATGTAAAA